AACTCTGCCCGAAGGTCATTGATCTCCTCCTCCTTTTGGCTACAAAGGAGCTCAGGGCCTTCTCTTCATCCGAAGACTTCTTAAGCTCGGACTCACATTGGCTCAGCTCAGCCTTTAATTTGGTGATGGCCTGCACAAAAAACAAAAAGATATCAGTTAAGAGAAGGGGAGAAAAGAAAAAATTGCAACAGTGGGAGCTAATACTTACACGGGAGAAAAGACGATAAGCCTCTTCGAAGAGGATAGATGCGTCATTGAGGTCGGCGGCATAATCAACCCCAGTAAAGCAATCCCAGAAAGGATCTTCTTCACCGGGAACTCTGCTCGGGTCAGGCGTTTGCAGAGCTCGAACTTCATTCATTGTCGCCTCAGAAAAAGATGTTAAAGAAAGAGAATGACCTATTGTCACGGCCCCGAGAAAGTCACTCTAGGCACTTTGTTCAGCCTCGGGGGTCTCGGTACTTTTCCCTTGTGGTATACCTATTGAAGGCGGTGGAATAATCTCGACCCCGGGCGATTCGAGGGCTATTCCCGAGTCTTCCTTTGGAGTTTCCTCTTCACGAGGCAAGGTCTCCGATCCGGATGTTTTGGCAACCTCAATTGGTTTTCTAGTTCGGGTCACCAGCGTCGATTCTTCTCCCTCATCGCCTTTATCATCTAGAAACTGGTGGACCGAGTCTACGTCCACGTGAATAATATTCCTCCTGCGTCTTCAAGCAGGAGCCTTTTCGTCCTAGGGGTCTTCGGGTTTTGAAACACTTTTTCTCTTGTTATCTTTCCCCGATTTAAGAATCGGGGACTCGATCTCTTTCCTAGGAGGGGTTGGCATTATCTTGGAGAAATCTCCAATGCCTGCATTAATTTAGAATTGAGTATAAGGAAACAAGCGGCTTCGGTAAAGAAGGAAAACATAAAAAAACATACAAAGCAAAAAAATCACCATGGTGTTTAGCTTCCCATTTACCCCTCGACAAGTCACGCCATTTGCGCTCGTTATACGAGGAGGTCGCGACTAACTTCCGAACCTAGTCTTCGAGGTTGGGGACCGCATGAGGAATCCAAGCAAAAGTTGCAAAAAAGGTAAAGGCGTCACACAATGCGAAGGCGAAGTATAAAAGGATACAGGGAAAAGGATTTCATTTACGGTTGGGGTTCCATTTCTCTGGGAATGGCATTTTTTCCTCGGGGATGATGTTTGAGGTCCTCACTCGGATGAACCGGCTCATCCAGCCTCGGTCTTTGGCCTCATCATTGCTAGCAAAGAAGGCTTTGCTCGATCGGCGTTGGGGCTTGATCAATCCTCGAAAAAGTTGAGGCAGATACAATTGGATGAGGTGATTGAGGGAAAACTCCAGTCTCTTTGCCTTGATGGAGAAATAACGGAGCATGATCACTATGCACCAAAAGGAGGGGTGGATCTGGCCGAGGGTGACATGATATCTTTTGCAGAAGTAAATCACGACCAGATCAAGAGGACCCAGTGTGAAGAGGTAAGTGTAAACACTTAGGAACCCCTCCACGGGGGTGGTGACACTCTCCTCGGGGGTCGGGTTCTGTACCACGACCTCATCCCCCAGCCACACTCCTTTATCACAGCCTCGAGGTGTTTCTCCGTTACTGAACAGATGTACCTCGATGCATGCTTACATTGGCCGGGAACTGCAGGGGGTTTTCTGCGTCAAAATCTTTCTTTATTACACAGGCGACAGGAACGATCTCGTGAAGGGCCGGCGCTTTGTCACCGGCCGGACGAAAAGAAGAGGACGAAGCCTTTTCTTTTTGAGGAACTGTTTTAGAGGTCTTTGCCATGGTTTTGTGTTTAGAGATGCAAAAAGTGGCGGAGTTTAGCATTTTCCGGCACTAAGAGGACGGTAGGGCAGATAATGAGAGAAAAGAGATGAAGAGAAGGAGATACAGAAGAAGTTTAGAGGTGGTTTGAAGATTGGAGTAAAGCTTTCTCCAAAATTAAACCTTGTATCTATAGGTAAGTAGCGATAGTTCAACGACACTAGTGGCCAACCACCACTGGAGAAGCATTTAATGTTTTGGGGAAGCGAACCGATATAACATTTTACTCACTTCGAGCGCCTACGTCACGAGAATGATATCATCAATGGCTCCAAAAAATCGAGGTTCAAATTGTTTCTTATCATTTTACTCTAAGAAACGCAGGGACTATCTGCATACGGATAAATCATGTACCCCCGATTTTGTGGGCTCGAGGGCTCACATCGAGGAACAGAGGGCTTGCATCGAGGGACAAACTCAGTATGGACCGGGTTCGAATTCGAGGACAGAACATAAGGATCGAAGATTAAAGTGCACGATGAGTACCGAAGCCGAGTATGACCAACCCCGGGATGGAGCCGTTATGAGGTTGTAACAGAATGAGCAAGATTCTCGCCACGTCCCCAAGATCATGGCGTAAATTTCGGAATAGATTAATACGGGTTAATACTAATTCGTACTAGGCGGTTAGACAGCTATCCTAATAAGATTCCTTATTAAAAATAGAAATGTACCTTATTTAGGGTTTCCCTATTATATAAAGGGGGCCCCAATCATTTGTAACTATCATGAATTATTAGCAAAGATTATACTCTCTTACTTTCTTGCCTACTGCTCATCTGAATCATCTTATTATTATTATTATTATTTTATTGTTCTTGTTGTTCTTGCTTATTTACCTCGAAGTCACCTTTGCTCGAGGTCGGGGTCTGCTTACACGATTGGTTTGACTTGCCTTACTCTTAAATTTATATATTAGATTCCTTTTTTATCAATTAGTATTGGATTAAATCACACATCTTTAAAATCACAAACAAATTTAATTGTTTCTCGTATTTTTTAGGTAAACACTGTGAATAAGAACGAATTCCAATTCGGATCTTATAAGTACAACTGAGTTTACAATGCAAAAAGGGAATTCACTAGTCATTCACTCTGTTAACATAAGAACTATGCCTTTGGTCCTTAACAACTCTAGTTTTTTCTTTATCCTGCATTTAACTCGCTGCTAATTTTATAATCCCCAGTTCTAATAGTGTATTCAACTCTAATGGTGAAACTGGTATATTCAATTTTGAGTGAAGGGGGTTTGAATTTGAAGGAAGAAGAAGAGGAGAGGAAGAGAAAGTGAGAAAGCTTGGAGCATAATATATTACTTTGTATACAATTGATAATTACGTATAGAAATGGTAGTTATGTATAGAAGGAACCCCTATAAAAATGGTAAATATGAAATATGTTTATAATTAAACATATGTAGGAAACAATTCCAGAAACTTTTTGACCAAACTCTTTCTTTCAACTTCAACTAAATCTTCAATTTAAGTACTGATACTGGAAGTTAAAGTTTTAGGGGTCGTTTAATATGATGGATAAGTGTAAAAATAATCCTAGGATAAAAATTTAGTATCGCCTTATTCCTTGTTTAGTTACTAATCTCGATTCCTGGGATAAGTTATCCCAGGATTAAAAGTAGTACCGAAATAACTTATACTTGATAGAGATGGAATAGTAATCCCAGGATAATTTATCCAAGGATAAAACAGTAAAATTGACACCATGATTAATACAACATACCAAACAATCAATAAGAAATAATACTAGGATAACTAATCCCAACATAACTACTCTCAGTATTACTAATTTGAACATAACTACTCTTAGCATAACTTGTTTTCAAACCAAACGACACCTAAAGGAATATTTAATTTGGAAGTTAATATGTATGACCTTTAAGTAACCAACTTCTTTTACTTGCATACTGTACGGAACATTATGTAATCACCATATATAGTAACTGACTTATAGCCTGTTTGGCCAAGCTGGAGAAATCAGCTTATTTTGAGAAGCGCTTTTGAAAAAAGTACTTTTGGAGAGAATCAGTTTGTGTTTGGCTAATCAGTCTGAAAAACACTTTTGAGAAATAATTTGTGTTTGGCCAAGCTTTTTAGAAAGTGCTTTTTAGTGTCAAATTACGAATAAGGACATGAATAGATTTACTTAATAATTAATATTATAAGTAAATAAATAATATCAAAATTTTGTTATTACATGCAATAATTAAAAAAAATTCATTTTATTTAAGTAAAATATGAAAATAAAATTAAAAAGTACTTAATTCTTTTAATATAAGTTAAATATATTAAAATTCCTTCAACAAATATAAAAGCATTCACCCCTAAATACACTATATATTAGAAAGTTTCCTAAAAATAAGAAGAAATATTTATAAATTAATATCCCAAGTATTAGGTTTAAGGGTTATTTTGGTATATACTATATTTTGTTAAGGGTATTTTAGGTAAGAAGAAAAGTCAAAACTGCTTCTGCTTCTCTTTTGGAAAGAAACTACTTTTTTCTGCTTCTCTGAAACTGCTTCTACTTCTTCCCAAAAGCACTTTTTTCCCCAAATAAGCTTGACCAAACACCTCAAATTAGGAAAAAAAGTGTTTTTGGAGAAAAAAGCTCTTTTTTTTGTCTTGAGAAGTTTGGCCAAACAGGCTATTATGTTATCTATACTATGGAGAATGGAGATGTTTTACAGTTTAGCTGAGTATGGAAACTCTTCCGACTAGATAACGATAATAATTCCTGTTTTGCAATTACCTTACTGGTATTCCTACTTTACACATGAAAGTGGAGGATTAAAAGGTGAGAACCTAACAATCTGGAAGTCTTCTCTTTCATTATTTTCATGCCATAAAAACTCTTTTCATGTCTTTGCTAGAATATTCCCTAACCCAACGCTCAAGACATGAAAGTTCTTGATCATGTTCAAGCCAAGTATAAACCCCCCAGAATAAGCAACTGAAAAGAGCCACCAAAGAGCACAACCAGAATTTCCTCTCTTATTAAAAAGTGCCCTTATGCTTTGCAATAGGTGCTAAGATATCCTTAAGGAGAAAGAATAACAAAAAGGCTGCAAAAGCTTCACTGCCACAGTTTGTAAAGTTCAAAGCAAAATGCCCTTACAAATACCCCTCATATTGTTCTCCATTCCATCATCCAAATAGTTTCCCAACTATCCAACATTAAGGTTCTAACACACCTTGACTTAATTCCAAATGGCTCAAACAAGTTCAAGATCGTACATAAAAAGCATTTATATTTTGGGGTTGCTTTGTCTTTTGCTATTGATCCAAAATGGCGATGCCTATGAGTTCAAAGTTGGAGGTTCTGGAGATTGGAGTGTCCCTTTGGATCCCAATGCTAACGATTACAACCAGTGGGCTGAGAGGAGTCGATACCAAATTGGTGATACTCTATGTAAGTTCTCATCATTTGCATTTTTTCCCATTTCTTGTCTAGTCAAATTTTTGCTCCAATTGTTGTTCAAATGAGAGCTTCATCCTTATGTCATACAATAGAAAATTTTCTTGTGCCCGACAAGAAGTTTCGCTACCTTAAGACGGTTAAAGTAGGGGCATTGGTAGTTGACTCCCGTGTCCTCAGGTCACCAACTTTCTTGACATTCTGACAGTGAACAAACATCAACCCCCATACATGGTCACACGACTTTGTCGAGACCTGTGTTTTGGGTTAAAAAAATTCGGAACACCCTTTAATTGTGAGGAGGCAACCCTTCTCCCTAAGTTGCAGACTATATTACTGAGTTACTTAGAGAGAGTTGTCTTGCATCCTTAGGTGTTACAAGTTTGATCTTGACACCATTTATCATCTTGGAATTGCAGTGTTTGTCTACCCGGCTGATAAGGATTCAGTTCTTCTTGTAACCAAGGAAGACTATGCAAATTGCAGCACAACAGCTCCACTTGAAAAATACAGTGATGGGCATAGTATTTTCAATCTTACCCACTCTGGACCTTTCTACTTCATCAGTGGAGTTCACGACAACTGTGTCAAGAATGAAAAGTTCCAAGTGGTGGTCATGGCCGATAGAAGCATCAACAATCAAACAGTCACATCACCTTCATCTTCACCTTCACCATCAACAGCAGAGGTTCCTCCAGCTCCAGCTCCTTCCGATGAAGGCGCCACATCTCCACCAACTGGTTCAGTAGACATCAATCCATCACCAACACCTTCTCAAGAATCTTCTCCTCCAAAGAATAGTGCTTGTTCAATTGTCATGAGTTTTGTTGGATCAGTTGGAGCCTTTATTGGTTCTTCCATTCTTCTAGG